GGACACGGCCGGACACGGCCGGACACGGCCGAGGTACAACGGCCTTCGACAAAAGGCCGTCGGAACGAGGCGAGGTCGCGAGAGACGCATAAAAGGAAGGGTTTTGAGTTAGTTCGGGAGAGTCCCGGACCATCACTTGGTATGTGTATATGCTGCTGCTATTCGTGTTTTAGAATAAACTTATAGTTGTTCACCGTTTACATCAGCGTTACATCTACTATCTACGTCTACTGTCTACAAGCGTACATTCCACGCTACATTACTATCCCGAGCAGAAAAGAAACTTGGATCAACACAACACGGCAGGAGTGAGAGAGACGCCACCGAAGACAGAGGCGATTGCACATGCTAGCGAATCAACTGGCATGCATAGCGATACACAGGAGGCTGATATCCAGCGAAATTCAGGAGCTTCCATGAAGAGAGAGAGCCCGAATCAGCACAGGAGATGTTTGGACGAAACATACTCGGAAGAAACAGTGCTGACAAAAAAGAGGTGTACAGCCGCCAAAGAGAACAGAGAGGACAACGACGACAAAGACACGACCCGATTGTAAAACGGAAAGGACTGATCATCCCGACCATTACGCACGGAACAAAACGACAAATAACGGGACAGACGAACAAAGGCGACCGAGGGTACACGACAGAGAGAAATATTAAGACGGACATAGTTCAGGTAAGAATCGAACGAGTCGCGTAAGTACCCTGATACATCGAGGGGGTTTTCTACAGGTGGGAGCTTGCCTGGGGGAAGCCACGCACTCGTTCGAACACAAAGAACTAAGTGACGAGTAGAGAAGAAGACAGGAAAGCAGAGAAAGGAAACAGGGAAAACAACGTAACGTGACGCGAAGATATAACGCGTAACGCGAATATATAACGAGAGAATAGAAGAAATATAATGAGAGGATAAAGAGAAGGAACAGTCAGCGTCTCGCACATTGTTTTACAGATACGTTGGAATTATGATGATGACGATCTACGCAGCCGCTGCAACACAGAACCAACCGATTCACATCCCAGGAATTATCATGATCCCGGAAATTCAAGCCGGCATCACTGAAAGCACATGGGCGTTAGGCTTTAGCGTCGACCTGACACAAATCAAGGCGAGTATCGAGAAAGTAAAGAGTACGCTCATCGCGACAGCGATGACAGTGAAGAGCGACGGACACCCATTCGTGATAACAACACGACTGGAGGGATTTTTTCACGACCACCACTGGCTACAACTGAAAGTAGCGCACTTAGCAGAAGTATTCGAGGGAATTGAACGATTGACAACAGACGATATAGCGATCGCCCAGCAATACCGCTGCGCGCTAAACGATGCGCAACACTAGAAACAGTAAGCAAGGGGACACTAAGCCAGGCAATTCACGCCAGAAACGGTACTGGATCCTAGCACTGCGTTCAGAGCTCGCTCACAGTTTCCTGTTGCGGGACGGCCACAGGAAAGAGAAGATGTACAGCCGTACAGCACAAGTAGCGCAGGGCTTTTAGTGGGACAGGTTTGACTCAAAATTGTGAAGAAAGAATGAACAGTGTTTAAACTTCAACGTTAGGGCCTGCAACAGAAGCAACAACAAGGGAATAACGAGGCTGGCCAATGCCTAGCAGAACAGATGCGGCCGCGCACAATAGGGCTATTGGAAGAAGCGATGGACTATACAAACCACTGGTATGACGACCTCATACGAGTAATGGATGTGATCGAACGGTACGCAATGACATTTTGTATGAACATGCAGATTGATGAAACCAGAAGCACGTTGACTGTGCTAACAGCAAAGCAATCAACGACTTACTGGCTGCATACCTCCCATCCACGCTACTCGCAAACCTAATAATTATACCAAGGCCCTTACGCGCAGCATCACCGCAGCAACTCGCGCGCCCGCGTTGTGAACTCATACTCAGCCATGCCACACAAGCTCCTTGCAATATTATACGTCCTTGAAAGTGCAGCTAATACAGATAACGGAACGTTTCATATTATAGCAGCTGCTGCCCTTACACAGTTACAAGGAAATTTTACGGATATATCGGCTAATAACGGTGGCCGACATTCTTACAAATCAACAGCGGCGGCTTACTACCAACTGGATAACGAATATATGGCGGGTATGCGGCCAACGAGGAAGACTACCTATACTTAATACCAACGATTAACACAGCAGTGTATCAGAACTGAAGATGCCAGTGTGTCAAACTACCGCCAGGCCCGATCTACCAGACCGATACAGACAAGAGTCATGCGAATGAGCATCATCAAAAGGAGCGCGCGCAGCGACGCCCTGGTTTACTCAGAAAAAGGATCCGATTCTGCGGCAGCGAGGCAAACCGACGGCGAGTTAGCGTGACAGCAGGAATATGGATACTGGTCCACACCATCTCCGTTGCGTACTCAGCCATGACGATGTACAAGGCAGGTAACGCACAACGCGAACAACAACAGCACATAAGATTCGAAATCAAAATTCTTAAAGCTCGAATCAGGATGCGCAGTCGATCTCGGGCGTATTTCAAGCTACCAACCTACCTGACCATCAAGAGTCAGACAGCAGCGTTAACATTCAAGTAAACACCAGATCGAACAACCGAGAACGTAAGCCTGGCGATATGGGGCGAGATATAACCAATAAGACAACGCAGGAAGCAAGAGCAGCTTCAGCTACCTATCTAGCCGATATATTCCGGAAGAATGCAAAACACGCGTCTAACCGACATAGACGTACCATTCGAACACCTCGGCCAAGCGATCAAGAATCAGCAAACCAGCTGACAATGAATCGCGGAGGGACTCTTCAAGTACCCACGCAAGATGAAGGTATCGTCGCACAGTATACTCGGGCGTACAGTACGGGCTACTAACCGTGACATCAGCAATCGCGATAATCGCAATACTGGGCGGGTGGAAACACAGAGTGGTGGCAGACAGGCCCACACCGCACAGGAAGCAGACCACCACAACAACAGCAACAACAACACAGCACTAACTGAACGAGGCACCACCCGAACAGCAACGGCGACCAGATAATACGCAACATTAGCCTGCACGAACTTACCTTTTGCGTTGCTACGACAGAGGTGGATCCAGCAGCAATAGAAGGACAGAAGAGGCAACGGAGAAGGTAGACAGCGGCGAGCCCCGCTTTGAGAGGAATCAGGTTAAAACACTATACCAGATACACATCATAGACAGCAAGCAAGGGCCTTTCGCTTTCAAGCGCTGCGGAGTGACGGATGGAGAGCGGAAAGGGCTCGTGATGATCACGAGGAGAGACGTCCGGAGGTTGTACGTCCCATCAAAGGGTGGGGCATGTGTCACCTAGCAGCACGGTACGAAAAAGGAACGCGAAAAGGCTACCGTCACTGACCAGCCGGCAGTACTGAGCCGAGGCGATGGAGGTTAACATGACCTTTTACTACGACAGTTGGGAAAGAACAAGCAGCAGGAGCAGAAACAAGAACAAAGGGATATGGACAGGTACGCCTATTGACCCGCGAAGAAAGCGAGGTCGCGCGCGGACGTTGGGTAGCTATAAATGAGGCTAAGATTTAATGCAGAGTAGACACAGAGAGGTGCGCGGAAGGACAGACGAATGACGATTGGACCCAACGCTCCGACGAGATGGNTTTTTTTTAATGCTATTTCCACTAACAGATGCAACCACCACATCCAGGTCTTCTTAAATCAGAAAGCTTGATCTCAGCAAATCAGTAAGCAGACCATTCTCTACAGATTTCAAACATACGATCGCGGTCACACACACACACACACACACACACACACACACACACACACACACACACACACACACACACACACACACACACACACACACACACACACACACACACACACACACACACACACACACACACA